TGTCAGATACTTTATACTTTCTACAGGCTCTGAACGCGGCACTTAACACAAATAATTTTAGTTATTTCTATTTTGGTTTGATCAAACGATGTTTTGACGCCGGCTTTGACCAAAAAGTTGACCTCGTTCCAATGTCAGGGATTCAGTTATATGGCAATTAAATTAATTAGGATATTTTTAATCGAGCACAGAAGAACTTGATGAATCTTGTATTATATATTTATAGATTGGTTAGCGTGATCCTAACAAAGTGGAAAACTTGCCAGAATATCCAGACTATTTTGTGTATGAAAATCGTATAATTATGGCTATAATTATAGGGCAGTTTTCACTAGTTACTCATTCATAAACTATTTATGTGTGTTGCATGTTGCACTGTGCATGCAATTTGCGTTTGTTGAACCCCATAAAATTGTCACTGGGCGCAGGCATTTAAAATGCACGCCTCCAATGCATTAATTGCTATAAATTGAACAAAACATACGCACAAAGTATACACACACACACACAAGCATAAGTACACATGTGTGTGTGTGTGTGTGTGTTAATACATATTTATATAGCGCCTAGTGGGGTGCGACATGCGATTTGAAAACTACGAGAGGAGCGCCAGTTTATTGGGCAAGGGATTGGGGATGTGTGTGTGTGTGTGCATAGAGTTGCCTGCACATCGACATTGTTGCGCATATTTGGCGGGGAGTTGGTAATTTGCCGCCTTCTTTTCGGCATGTTGCTGGCTCCCGAAACAGCTGTTTTCGTGAACCTATTCACTCAATGCTTGGAGTGGAATCAATTTGAGTGAAAAACACCAAAAAGCTGAGTGAGAGAAAGAGACAGAGAGGGAGAGAGCGAGAGTGCGAGAGTGCGAGAGAGAGAGCGTGTGTTGCACTCGGACAATTCATCAAAGACGCAGAATTTTGCGGCAAACGTCAAACATGAAATTATGAAATGGCCATAATATTGTGGGCACACGCACCACACACTCGCGCCACAATCGAATGCAGATAGAAACGATTAGAATTAACTCAAGCCACGACGACACTCAACCGCCTGATGAGTTTTGTTGTTGGTTCGCTGGTGGACACCCTGGGGGTTGGGATTTCTCTCCCTGTGTGTGTGTCGCATGGGTCGCCAAGAGCGCGCCTCGGCAATTTAGCTTCGTGCTTTGTTGCGTTCGCCACGCAGCGTACGCCTTTGAGCGTCTTGAGCTTTTGAGCGATTTAACGGCAATCGACTTGACAGTTGTAACTCATTGTCTGCCACCGTCTCAGTTGACCCAGCCCGCCCACAACGTCCGTATACCGTTTATATACATACGCACACACATGCACATGCATTACATTAGGTACACACGTACAGTGCCGGCTAAAAAAATGGCACTACTCAGATTCAAATCCAGATCCTTAAATGATGTTGAGCGTTTTTATAACGCTTAATAATATTAATAAGCAGCTCTCACAATGACACTTATGATGATGATTTAATGATGCTATTTACCAGCTATTGGCCAGCTATTATCCACACCTATGCGCAAGTATTTATATACAGTTTGATAAATGGGTAGTGCAATTCACAAATGGCAAACATCTTTTCTGTTTCTTTTTTTTTTTTGGGGGGGGGGGGCGACAGTGACCTGTTCTGCATTGGATAATTTAATGCCTTAATGCCAGTGGCGATTTGCTCGCGAAAGGTTTTTGTGTGCAGCTTGTTGAATTTCGATTTGATTTGTGTGGCGGGCACTAAAAATAATTCTCTACTTCACGCGTGCAAAGGGGCAAAATATCATTAGACATTAAGGCTAGTGTGTTGAAATTGAACAAAACAGCTCAGCATGTGTGCAGACGGTCGGTCGGTTGGACGCACGGGCCGACGGTCGGTCGGTCGGTCGGTCGATGTTGATTCCGATGCCGATGCCGATGTCGATGTCGATGTCTATGTCTACGTCGATCCGCAGTCGGTCTGTCTATATATAAACGCAACACAACATATACACACACACACACACACACACACACACACACACATGAAAATAAATAAAATACGAGTACAATTCAAGATGAGATATTCAGATACATTCCCATATTCAACATACATAACATATACATACATATGTACATACACATACATACACACATACACACACACATACCACATGCATACATAAATACGAGGAAAACAGCATCAAAGTCTACCCAAAATGACTTTCGTATTGAAATGAACGAGTTTTTTCATTCACTTTGTATTCAGACATTTGACGAAAATGTATTTCGCATAAATTTGTGTGCACAAATTTTATCTTACATTATAATCATATTTGGCACTGAATTTTATCGGCGTTACTTTTCAATACCATCGTCGTATCAGCTTGGAAACTCTGGAAAATGTAAGAATTGTGTTCCCCAGATCAAAATCTCTCTACATCAAACGACAATAATAAATCAATGAAATACAAATATTGACATATAAAGAAATACAAATAATAATTATTTTTTTAAAATATTTTACAAATAATTTATTTTTTCTATATTCTTCTTTTAGTATTGCTAATAGTCATTGTTCATGGTTCCTGAGAGTCTTCTATACATATTTTTCTTTTGTAATTCGATTAGTTTTACTATCACAAAACAGACAATTATCTTGCTGGAAAAATGCTTAAGTTTAAGTAAATGTTTCGGACTCGAAAAACTGTTACTCCAAAGTAAGCTCTTTGGTAACATATATTTATAAAAAATATAAGTGGCATTTTTTAGAGTACAATAGTTCTTGAAAAAAATGTTTTTTAGGTATACATTCCATGAACCAATACTGATAGTATTGTGGAAGAAAACTTTAAAACTTTGATCCTTCTGAATGTGTTTCCTAAATGAAAACCAAGCAAAATACTCATAAATTAAATTGGGTGTCTTCTATTAAGCACCTAGAAATATATATTCTATTATAGCCCAATAAAAAATTATAGTAAATGTTTGCTTTAGAACTGAATGCTCCAAGTGCACAGAAATAAATTAGAAAATATTGTGAATGTTTTGGTTGTAGTTTTATGAATGCTGCAGAAACGCTGTGAATTTAATGAGAAAACTACAGGCGCTGTTTGCTAATATTTTCTTTTGCACTTTGGAACTTTTTATTTGACTTTAGATGTTTTGTTTTTCTTCTTTTTTGAAAATGAAAAAAAACCGCAACAGTTACAAAAGTTGTCTTTGGCAGCCCCTCAAAGTAGGCACGGCTGGGAGATCTTTATACAAAGACGTTAACTGCGTGTTGTTCTGCAATTGTTTAAGCTTTAGGTTTTCATGTTCTTGTTGTGGCTGTTGTTGTTGATGTTGATTTTGTTGTACACATAACATTTGCAAAGTATTTACCTACGGGTAGGTGTATGTGCTGCGAAATTGCTTTCTTTGTTAGTTAGTTGGGTTATATTAGGCCAACTAAAGAGCACTTTGCAAAACACTTGGAATTTTTCATTGCCAATTACAAACAGGCCAGGTAAAATGCAAAATGCGAAGCAAAAAATATAAAAAATAAAATATAACGAAAAAAGCTAACGTGAATGCATTCCGCAGAGTAAGAGACGCCGCATGCCCTGTGCCCCGCATCACCCCCCTTAACTGAATGCCCCCGCATCCGGACGGGCAAGCCGTGTGCAGCGAGTCCAACCCCAATCATTCGAACTGGGCCGCCAGAAAAAGTTGCCGCAGTCGTAATGAAAAATAAAAAAAGCAACAAATAAATTCCAAAACGAAACGTTAAGAATTTTACATTCGAGATACTTTTATCAGCAACTAACTGCTGATGCCTCAGCTTGAATTCCCTGCTGCAAGCCAACCTGTTACAACATGCAATCGACAGGCCTCAAACAAGGCGGAAAACTTAAAACTTAATGCCGCAGCCAGTGCAGTTGCAGTTGCAATTGCAATTGCAATTGCAACTGTGAATGGCTAAGTGTAACCAAGCGTGGCGCATATAGTATCTTCCATCGGTTTTGGCCGCTTGCAATCCAATTCAAAACAAAAAATTATTATATTTATTTGTATGCATGAAATAGCGCTCAATATAAATATGCATTTCAATATTCACACGTGTGCATTTTGCTGTGCTTGTTGTACGTTATGTAAATGAATCGTGGAACCAACCAAAGATCTGTAAGAAGCATTCAAATAGTCAATATCCTGACACTATCATATTCTTCTTAGCAATTTTGTTAGTTGTTAAACACCTTTGATCATTTTGATCTTGGTTATCTGCAAATGTGAAGAATCGACATGGGCGGACAGGTAGCCTTAAAACTTATAAATACAATTTCTATAAATCGTTAAATAACAGAGAATTATTTTGAACTTAAATGTCGACAAGATGCCTAAAATAACCGTTCTTTCTTGATTATCAAATCTTATTTTTCAGGTGGAATCAAAATTAACGCAAGACGCGTTTAACTTATTTTGATGTTCTATATTTTGTATTCCACATTTCTAAATTTATAGAATGGTCAAAACTAAATTTTCGTCATACTTGAGATTTTAACTTTTTATTTTAGTATTTTTTTTATTTAATGATTTCGATTTTGGTTTTTATACATAAATGAAACTTTTCGAAATTATTATTTATGTTTAACTTCTTATCTTAAGACAGATTATTATTTATATTATAAATGAATTAAATTACTGTATTATGATCTGTCGATTGTTATAATAAAATCAAATTTTTAATAGTATATTTTAGATATAACTATATTTACTAAAATATATTTGTTTTTAAAGAGAAGTCAGTTAGTTAATCAGTTTCCTTACTAATAAATAAATCAAAAAGTATATATAATAATACTGCTGAATATAAAATTTTATTATCACAATCGACCGTTACGCATACTTTGAAATGTTGCACTAATAACGGATCAGCGTTGCTAGTGCCAATATCAAATCAGATACACAAAATACAGAAAATCGATAAATGTAACGTGTTATCGATACATAGCCTGTGTTCTGGCGATGTCACACGCACATCTCTAATGCATTTGTGTATGCAATAGAGACGTTTGTATGCCAAAAAAGTATTTACGACTGGTCAAAAATCATAATGGAAAACATGTTGTGTAGGCGAGGGACTGGTGGCAGCATGAACTGTAAGTAGATGCCACCCATCTGTGGGCAAGCAAACATTTTACATCGACAACAATTTCATGCAATACATACATAAAAATTTATTTGTTGTTTTTTTTTTCACGGCCATTTGTATGTACATTCAATATTATTGTATGCTAAATGCTTACATATATACAAACATAAATGGATGCATATGCGTGTAGTCAACAATATGACGGACGAGCAGCTGCAGGAGTGGCACACCGCCGTCCTGACCGAGGCGCAGCGCGAGAATTATGTGAATCACAACTTGGAAATAGTGCGCCACTATCGCAATGAGGCGATTTCAAGAGCGCCCGCCTTCGATCTGGAACGGAATGCGATCGATGCGGCGATTGCCCGCCATGGTCTCTGCGTGTCCAATGCGGTTGGCAATGAGCACTCAGAAGGTGGCGCTGGCCACGAGGAAATGCAACCGCCACCAATGCGTCGTCCCCGCATGGAACATTCCCTACTCCCCCTGCCACCACCACCACCACCACCGCCGCCGCCTCAAGATATGTCTGAGAATGAAGCAGGTGGACCAAGTACCAGCAGTGGCCACTATGTGGCACTGGCTCACATATTCTCCGATGCGTACACAGCACGTGCGGAGCCAACTGTCGCCGCCATTGAACATGGGAGCATCAATGGGAGTATCAATGGGATTGTCAGCGCGCTTGGTGGCATGAGCGGGAGTACCCACAGTGTCCACAACAGCAGCGGCAGAAATAATAATAGGCAGCTGGAGGATGCAGAGCTCAATGATGTGGCGATAACAGAGACCATTGATAGCTTGGGACTGCGCCGCACCTAATTGAATACCAGATGCATATTAATCACATTTAGAATTTATGATATTTATTCATTAAATTGTTAAGATCAGCGTGTGCAACATATATTGTTCAGATCGTATATGTCTATGTATATTCTCAACACTGTTTTGTTGAACATAAAAACAAAAACAACAAAAACAAACAAAATACATAGTAGCTTCTGTGTAATGTAAATAATATCAGTTGAATTGTATATAGTACATTTTAAATATAGTTGTCTAGCATTTAAGCTTAGATTACTTAACCGCAGTTATGCATGTTAGTGTACATATATATACATATATATATATATATATGTATGTTTATAATTACTACAAATACAGAAATATATAATATCTCAATTGAGTTTAAACAAAAACAAAAACCAAACCGATGTAAAATCAAACTTCAGACACTTTGTGTTGCGAAGTCAGCAAAACATTCAGTACGGTTTAGTTACCACATTAACAGCATCACTTTGACATATATATATATATATATATCCATATATATATATATTTATATTCATGTATGTGTATGTAACCTATACACAAAAAAAAACTAGCAAACAAAAATGATTATGTATTTAATGGCACCTTTTGGCGAGCTACAAATTAAATTAAAATAAAAATGAAGGAACAATTGTTGTAAATATCGTTATACATATATATGTATCACATACATTATTCACGTATGTTTTTAAGTCTTAGAGAAGTTTGACATCAATATTTTGTGTGATCGACGCTGGCTTTTCTTTTTTCTTTGGGATCTTGGGGACTACATTTAGATATGAGTGCAGGTTGACGGCTGCAATCTGTGCCTCACTCTCTGTGTGGGGAATGTCTTTCTTTGACCGTGGGTGGCAGAGGGGCATGGGAATGGGGAGTATACTGAGTATAGAGCCCTGTGGACTGTGCAGCGCCGATAGCTACATATCTAAATGTATGTATATTTCCATTGATAAGCTTAAATATTACTTGATTTGGTTAATTTGCACAAGAGTCGGTGTCGGTGTCGTTGCTGTTAATGTTAATGCTAATGTTGTTGCCTTCATCGTTATCAATAGCCACATCATTATCAACAGCTACATCATTATCATAGGCAACAACACCACCAACGTCAGCGGCAGCAGCTTGAGCAGCAGCTGGTGCAACAACCGGAGCAACTGCTGAAGCAGCAGCTACGGCCAGTGCTGGTGCAACAGCCGGAGCAACAGCTGGAGCAACAGCCAGAGCAATAGCCGGAGCAACAGCCGGAGCAACAGCTGGAGCAACCGAAGCATCTGTGTCCATAGGCTCATCTCGCACCGCTGCATTGCGGCTACGCCTGTTGTCCGTCTGTCTGACTGTTGCCGCTGATGCCGAGGAGTCTCCCGATGTGCGCATTAGGCGACGGTACTGTTGGAAGGTGACCAAAATGCGTATCATGATCTGTGCGGGTACCGTTATGGTATCGCGTGTCTCCACAAGCAGTATCTCATTGCTCTTGATCAGCTGCCCAAAAAAAAAACAAAAAATTAAGAAAAAGATAAGCAAAAAATTGTCAATTACCAAGCTGCCCATGTATATATATATATATATATATTTATATGGTACATACCGATGCAGTTTCGTTCTCATAAAAGGAGGGCTTCGGTGCGACCGGTGCCCACAGTTTCACATTGTAATCGATGCCCGAGCTGAGCAGATACGGCATTGTTGGATGCGGCTGGACACGGTTGACAACACGATGATCGGCTAGCAGCGTTTTCACCACCTTGCCTGTCTTGCGATCCCACACAAAGATGTGGCCACAGTCCGAGCCGGACATGATGAAATCGTCGCCCCAGAAACAGGCACCCTTCACCATTGTGCGCGAGTTGCGATGTCCGCTAAACGACATCTTCACATAGTCAAAATTGGTGAGCGGATACTTTTGACCACCGCTTGAGCCCGAGCCTGACTCAGGTTCCGAGCCTGAACCCGAGCCTGATCCTGAACCCGAGCCTGAGCCTGAGCCTGAGCTCGTTCCAGAGCTTGATCCTGAGCTCGTTCCTGTACTCGATCCAGAGCTCGATCCTGAGTTCGATCCTGAGCCCGATCCTGAATTCAATCCTGAGTTCGAGCCTAAGTTCGAGGCTGTGCTTAAGACCGAGCTCGAACTCGACTCTCCGCCGATATCCTGTTTGGTAGTTGTATTTGTCGCTTGCGCATTCGTCGATTCAGCTGGCGAGGCATCTACAAAAGTCCAGAAAATTAGTGTAAGACTTTTTTTTTGCCTAAAGAATTAAGCTTTTTAAGTATTTCATTTAATTCGATAATAGATCAAAGCATGCAATAATTATCAAATTGCCTGCTATATATAGATATTATTAATCCAGACAATCCATGGATAATTATCCTAAAATATTTTATAAATGGCAAGTAAATATACCTGTAAAATCATTAAGTAATTCATAATCTAGCTGTCTGATGTAGTATTTGCTTTCTGGAGTGTATTTTCAAAAAGTTAATTTAACTATTCCTTTTAATATAATAAAATGGCTGCTCTCAAATAGGGAAGACTTGGGCTTCAGCGGTTATATATAATTAAAGCTATAATTACAATTTTTATGCCAATCCTGCATGCCCAGGAAAACAATAAAAAATTAATTCAATAAGTATAATTGATGTTTTTTGCTGAATAAAAACAATGACAAATAATGTTTCTAAAGATCCAAGTAAACTAAACTAATAAATAAAATATGATTTTGGAGTTCGGTGAATTAAATTCCTAAGTACTGAAAGTTATTATTTCGAAATAAAAGTTTTTGAAAATATTATTGTTTATTATAAGAATTGATGAGATTTAAGATTTTTTTTTAAACTTAAGTAAAACTAAGTAACTTTAGTAAATCATAAATGTACAAATATAAATACCTAATTTGTACATAATTTAATTAAATGTAAATTTAATAAATTATTATCACTGTTCTTTGTCTTTCTTTTTTTAAACTAACTTTTTTTGTTAAGAAATCCTTTAAGACCCAAACACAATACGCTTGGATATTTGGATATATATATATATTCTAATTAATGTATATAAATGCACCAATTGGAATGCTATATATACAATAATTATATACATATATATATATATATATATATATATATATATACTTAGCAAATGTTGCATAGAAATACTCTTGACACCAAGTGTTGCTGTATCATGCTGCCCCACTTACCATTGCCAGAACCGTTGGCGGAAACTGTTGGCAGGATGCCGATGCTGCGACTTGTCGCCGTCTCGCTCTGATGGTCCAGGGTGCGTAGAACGGCGTCCTGCCAGGACATATGAGTTGATGTCCTTGTGCTGGTGCCGCTGCCGCTGCTGCCACTGGGACTGCGACGCGATTGACGCGTCTGCGAGTTGAGCATGCGAAATATCTCATCGCTGAGGCGACTGAATACGCCCGGCTCGAGCGGTGGACGCGCCTGACCCACATTGAGACGATGCAGTCCCAACTCGGCGGATGTCATCGAATTTGGGCCGGTATCGGACCAATCGCCACGGAAACGCAAGCGTGGCATTTGCGGCTCTGGATCGTCGTCACGTCGCAGCTTTGGAGTATAGCAGCCGCTCTTGAGCAGCTCGGCATCGTCGTGGCCAGGATGATTTAGATCGTATAAATATATTTGCTCCATTGAATAACTAACTAGCAGCTCAGACTCATCGGCGCTAAACTTAACGCAGGTTGGACGGTAATGGCGACGCGTAAACTTCATTGGTATCGGAAAGGCTTTCAATGGCCAGGTAATGCGATCCCTGTCCGTGCCCGCTGTGAGCATGCGCCGATCATAGAGCCGTACTATCGAATCCGAGCAGCCGATGGCGATATTGTAGTGATTAATGGGCGCCACATCCATCGCGGTGACCGCACACGGTGCCGTAATGAAGATGTGCTTCTCGCACACGGACTCTGCACACCGGCTGCTCACACGGAGATCAATGCACCGGACGGTGCCATCCTCGCCGCAGCTGAGAAATGTGCGCGGGGTATCCGGCAATGCCAAAACATCGTATGTGCTGCCAAAGGCGTGACAATCAAAGTAGCTGGCATTGCGACTGGAGTCACCGGTGAGTGCCTCCTCGATGCTGCGGCTGGAGTTGTAGGGTGTAAGGAATTCGGTGTGCATCACAATGCCCTCGCCGGAGCACGAGATCACCGCCTGATCGTTGCAGTGCGGCATGAAACGTGCACTGAATATGTGACGCTTGTGTAATGTTTTTGTCTTAGCCGCCACACGGCCGGTTTTGACCTCAGTGACGACCAGATTGTTGTCATCGGAGCCGGATACAATATGCGTGCCGGTTGCATTCCAATTAACCGTATTTACACAGCCACTGTGCACATTCAATGTGTTTGTCAGATCCAATCGCTGCACAAAGTCCAGCGAATCTAAGATAAAACAGAACAAAACAAAACAAAACAAAACGAACCCACTAAAATAGTATAATTAAATAACAAAGTGCCGATAACAATATTCGTGGAGAACAACAGAGCACATTTGACAATTGCCCGAACAATTCTCAGTCAACAACTCACTTTTGCAGCTCGCCTGGAGATTCTTTTGAGCCGTGAAGCCGGCATTGTACGGATAACTCCTGAGGCACCTGTCCACGCTACGGCGCTCTCCTCTGTCCCACATCTTCGAAGGCGGCATCACTCTATAAGCAAAGAAATTCCTTTTAATATATTATTCGAAATTAGAAATTATTGCTCAACATTTCATGGCACTGTTGATGTAGGCAAGGAAATAACAAAACTGCTACATACACCAATATATACAGACAGAGAAACTGTCAAATGAAATACCCTACACCACTACTATATGCACAGATAGCATACCATCTTATCTACCTCGACACTTTCCAATAACACCCTGATTCGAGTGCTAGACTCGACTTCGCAAAGATCTTTCTTAAGAATCTCGACTTGGGCTTATTTCGTTCTTCTTGTTCTTCTCCTTCTCTAATTTCTGTGCGAGTAATATCAATTTTTGAAAGTCAACGTTCTTTCGAAAAATAAAAAATATTTTTCATAATGAACAAAAGAATAGAACTTTTCTTTTGTAACAATCGAGGATCGTTACGTATTCCGCATTGCATGTCGGATTTGTTTCTTGAAAATGATGAAATTCACTTTTAGGGTATCATCTGCCAAAATCGTCATAGGAGAGCTTACGCGTGTGTGTGTATGTGCGTGTGTGTGTGTGATTTGGTATGCACTTGGCTGGGACTGCTTCTGAGTCCGCGTCCGTTTATATATGTGTGCGTGTGTATGGGTAGATGGTTTGTGTGTATACGCGTAGAATACCGTAAAACTTATGTAAAACAATCAAAACACAGCGAATTAAATGTTGACAACTTTTATCAACGACCCAATTTTGCACGGTTCGAATTTTCCTGTATTTTTGGTTTATTTTTTTTTCTCAGAAGCTTTACCTATTTGACACTGCCGAAACACATTACAATACACAACTTGCTGCTCTAGCACACAAACACAAACACAAACACAAATTCGATATTTATTTTTATGTGGAGCTCAGCTGTCAGCTGTGTGACCGTATGCAATTTGCGTCGAAATCCCAAATGCAAATACATTTATATATACTGAAAGTTTGTTATGCCTCGCCTGTCGAAAGCACCAATATATCGCTCAGCCGGCTAGCTATCGGCTCAGGGCGCGATATATTGGGCGGCAAGTTAACAAAAATTTGTATTCTTTTATAAATAAAAAAAAAACAAATATTTCCATCAAACCAGTCCGCTCGCTGCTGTGTTGGCTGTGTGGATGTTGTACAGCCTGCGTGTCCTCCCTTCCTTGTGATTCCTCCTCTAAATTTCCTGGAGAAATTCCCTTTCATAATTATTTCTTTCTCGTTTGCTTCTTATACCCTCATCTCACCCAATCACATTGATTTACCACATCATGTTCCTTTTTTTAGACTATTTAATTTACAATTCATATGATACATGTAACATCGTGATCCCTAACCTTTTGTTGGCCAACACGTAATTCGCTTATATATATTTAATACAATTTTATCTATCTTCTTAATTTAAAGCTTTTGCTTTATATTTATTTATTTTACATTATTTTACTTTATATATAATTACTTCATAATTTTTTTACAACCAATTTATTGAATTTCTTTTCAAATCCTTCTCGCAGCGCATGCGCACGCGTTCTTTTCTTCCTCTTTTTTTTTTCTTCTCATTTTTTCTCTTTTTATTCTCCCTATTTTTCTGAAGATGGTCCCCCATCGATATCCTTCGCCTATCGATCTTTCTGCCGACCATAACACCACACTACGGTTCCGAGGTTCATTTCAGAGAAACAGGAGTGCAAAAGGAGGCTATCTTCGCCCAACGGAGGCCATCGCCCACACTCTGGGATTAAGAGCCTCATACTTCACTCACTGAGCTAGCCAGGCTTGAACTGCAGCTGTAGTCCACATCTGTGATTTGGCCAATCGGGAACTCCAGAGCCTGCCCGTTCACCAATCCATGGAAATCCCTCAGTACATCTGACCACGGAGCTTGGTACAGTGACTGGAGATGTTCCAACCGGAAGATAAATTCCGCCACCGGCATTCCCTTCGGGTCTCCGTCGAAGATCAGGCCCCACCTTCGGATGTGACTACTCTCCTGCCTCGTATCCCGATGCTCGTGCGGTTTCTTTGATAGTGTCCACTCATCATCGTTTGTTGCATCCAGCCCGATACGGGAACTTGTTGTTCGGCTTGTTTCTGTTGTTCCGATTCCGACGCTTGATTATCCACAAAAAGTGAGTAGGTGCCGGTGGTCGATTAATTCTCGCCTCTCTCGCTTCTTGTGAACTTGCATCGCTTCTTTCTTTGTCCACTTTCAGGGATGAGACCACTTCCCTAATTTCTCGCATGAAACTTAACATGCTGGCCTCCATTGTCTCTTTAAAAGCGCTCAATTCCTGGGACAGCGATGCTCTGTAGGTCTCGTGCGCTTGGGCTATCGCTACATTAATAGCCGACTTCAGTTCACTGGGTAGCTCCACTTCGCTCCTGGTTTGTTGCGTTGTTGACGAGATACCCGCTACATCGTCTCGGCTACGCATTCCGACTGGATGAGAAGTACTCTCCATTTCTTCGGTGGGTTTGGTATTTTGTGCACGGGTAGTTGGATGCATTTTCTCTTGCTCTCTATCTCTCTAAAAGTCCCCGCTACGCCGCACTTTCCTCGATTGCCTGAATACCCGTGTAATTATTAATTATATATATATTTCAACATGCAACAAAAAAAACGTATAATTATCTAACCCACAATTTTCATAATATATGTATGTATATATAGATATACTCGTATATGCATAAATATGTCTACGGAAAATAATTATCTGTACTTCTATGTATTAAATAAATAAATAACCAATAAATAACTCAGAAACAATTATATATAACCTATTATAAATATTTGACTAACCTAATCTCTAAGTCAAAATTGTCTTGTAACAATAATGTTGAGAACTAAGCTATCACTGAAAATCGCCTTATCACAACAAACTAACACTCAAAATTCATACTCAGCACTCTTGGAAATACAATTTAAACATTAAGATGGGTGAGATGAGGGTAACACCGTATCACGCCACCTACAGGTAACAATCCATACAACAAGAAACGAAAATAATTTAATACCACACGCTAAAACACTCCTTTATCTTTCCAGCTCGCCTACAATTGTTCCTCTCTATTCTGAAATATTAATTAGTTCTATTGACTGCGCGCGTTCTCAAAGTCGGAAAACGTTGACAATCAGTAAACAGTAATGCACGGATCGCGATTCGAAATCTCGACGTACTTTGTAAACCCCATTTCCAGGTAAGCTATCTTTAAGAAATTTTAATTGGCCGGTAAACTAATTATCAAATTCTATTTTTCTTTTTAGCTTCAGATCCACTTCAGCGGCAACGTGGCTCGGCCTTTTTTTGAAAGATGTTCTTTGACCAAATCGGCAGGACTACTGTTTGTGGCAGCGATGGACTCAGCATAGTAGGATGCTCATCCACGGTTCGACTAAACATTCCTCCTACTTGTTGGTCAAGGCCACCTGTTCAATATATGAAAATTGTTAATACTCAGAGTTTCAGGTACAATCTCCTGATTATTTTAATTTCTTATCCATTCTTTTTTTTATTTCTTTCATGCGAGCGTCATTTGTTGCTACAAATGTGCTTCGCGGTGTTGTTTAAATATAGTGACATTTGTTCTTATGTCAGCCTAGTTTTTTCAATTGGGCGCCATTTGTTATGCCTTGACTGTCGAAAGCACCAATATATCGCTCAGCCGGCTAGCTATCGGCTCAACAAAAAATGTATTAACTTGCCGCCCAATATATCGCGGTCGAACTACCCCTGAGCCGATAGCTAGCCGGCTGAGCGATATATTGGTGCTTTCGACAGGCAAGGCATAACAAAGTATTTGAATACGCTAAGGGATTATGCCATCGCATTTAAATATAATAGTTTCATTTTACCTAAAGAAGCCAACAGTTTGAATATTCGAATGTTAGTGGCAACATATTTATCAATTTATAATTCAAAAGTCAAATTGCTTATGAGTCCATTTGAAAAAATGAACAAGTACTCTTTCGTCATACAATCGATAACAGCAAATGTGTTTGTACCGATAATTGTGAGAGCTGGCCACACTTTAGCCGTTGCAGCACCAGTTGTAGCTTAATATCCGAGTCGAGTGTGCGCAGCACTCGCCGTTCTCTGTTCGTCGTTTCAGGTAGTAACCTGTTGCGTTATTTTTTTGTTTTGTTTTGGTAGTGGAAAGTGCAATAACGATATCTCAACGACTGCGTTTGATAAAACCGAGTTGAAACACAAACCTCCCCGGCACTGAGCGTGTGAGTTGTGTGAGTGTCAAACGAATTAGAAAACTTTTGTATATTCAATAAATACGGCAAAAAAGAAAAACAAAGCAAATAAAAAAAATATATAAGATAAAGGGCAACAAGTGAAGCTGTGGTTGCCGTTAATTTTTGTTTGTATTGTGTTGTGTTGCTTTTACTGCTGTTATTGTTGTAGCAGCTCATGAACAGCGGAAGGTAAATATTGTTAACTCCGAACTCCAACTCCAACTCCGACTCCGCATACCCAAAGCCAAAATGCAAATGGCTTAAAGTTAGTTGCGGCAAAAAAACAGAATATGAAAACGAAGCAAACTTTACATTCCAGTGGGTGAATGTGTGGAGTCTCTGTTGTTGTTGTTGTGCTTGTTGTGCTTGTTGTTGCAGTCGTTTACTGATGATGTGGAAAAGTTAATGAAGCAGCGCGCTCAAAAGAGCAAAGCCCCAAAGCAACAAGTAATGTTGCCCGACTAGTAGATACCTCACATACAATTGATGTAGCCATTACTTGAGTGTTATGCTTAGCATTCAAATCTGTGAATAGACCAAAGAATCCATGCCAAGTCGCTTGATATAAAGTGAGTGCTGTCTCAAGTTTGTCACAACTGCCGTGTATACCCGTTAAAAGTGAAACGACAGAGCAACATCAGCTATGAATTGTATATAGATATATGTTTGTATGCATCATAAAATACTTAAGTACATCATCATACACTCATACCTTGTCTACAGATACGACAGTATTTGTGTGAATTGTTGGCATTCGCGAATAACAAATTAAAAATGCCAACCAGTTTAGTCACGCCGACGTTAAATCGACCTCCTCCACCTCCTCCTCCTCCCCCTCTCCCAATTCCAATCACTCCCCAACCTCATTATAGAACTTAAAGCTATTTTTCTGCTGCTGCTGCTGTTGTTGTTGTTTTTGTAGTTATTATTGCAGATTCTAAAGGCTGCACATCGTTTTTTGTTAAATGCCAGAGCGTAGAAAGCGACAAGTCAAACAAAAGCGTCTTGGACAAAAGTAGATTGGGTTAGAGGGTCGGTCGGCAACAACAGCAACAGCAGCAGCAACAACAGCAGCAACAACAGCAGCAACAACAGCAGCTGCATTGTCAATACATACATTTTGGTAATACAATGCGAATTCGATACAATGAAGTATTGGTATAGTCCTCATTTTGTCTGGTAAAACACAAATTGCAATTTTAGCAATTCTTCGTTTTGAGTAAACATATTTGAAGTAACCTTTGTAAAATTTATACATGTCTAGGTGATTGGGTATCAATTATTTAAATAGGTTATTTAGATAAAATCAATGTTGACCTTTGTAGAAGTTAGCGAGTAATAAACCTGTTCCAGGAGATCTGAAGCGCAAGATATAAAAAATGTTTAATTAACTTATTCAAGCACTCGTTGTTATTTCTAATGTTTCATTTGTTGTTCAGCAGAAGAATAAATATGATAAGACATAGGAAATAAGCGTGCAGTTAAGCAACAAGCTACACAAAAATGATTAAAACTAGTCAACAATATATATTCTATACTATACTAAACTGTACTATCTATATAAATAAATAAAACATGCTGGATCATCTTGAAGACTTGTTGTACTGATACTCGACCCTATAATTGTTTTGCAGTTTGTGAGAATGATGATTCAAGAGTAGCTCAATGTATAACAAACATTGTCTCTGTTATCTGTGATAAGGCTGCTCAGATATGAACGACCTTATTCATGTGAATAGATCTGATTAGGCTAATATAATGCTATAAATAATAATATTATAATCTATTCATCTAGTACTGCCTAGCACCTAGCACAAATGAATGTATGTATCTATGTATGTATGTACATATGTACATCACATAAATCAGAAAAGCGGAACGAATATGAGAAGTGACTAGTTGATAGATAAACTTTCCCATTTCAAGAAACAGAAACGGATGAAAAACACGACACGATACTTTGTTTAGTTTAATCAACAACTACAACGGCAACAACAAGAAAAACTACAGCAACAACAGCAACAACAACAACTAGAGCCACTTATATTTTGTTGCATTATTATTATTATTATTTTTTTTATGTAGCTTTATTGCTAGCAATTAAATGAAGCTGTGCACTTATGGCACTAATATGTACTGGAGTATAGAGTACAAATCTTATAGATATATATGAGATTACACGTAGACATACACATACAGATACAGTGTGCTGCATGCCCCTCCCGTTGCAACTTAATGACGCTTAATAGCAATTCAATGAAAACTGCAACTGGCTGAAACTGAAAACCGAACCAAACTTCCCCGAGGAAAAAGTGAAATTTTTGCTGCTAACAAGTGTATGCGAGTGCGAGTGCGAGTGAGAGCGCAAGAGCGTTGCTATTGTTTGCTATTATTTGAATTATTGGAATTAGTCGACTTGACTTGTAGTCAAACGCATTCGTATTCATATTCATACTCGTACTTATTGGTTTAACACTGATTGCACTCAATGTTTATGGTTTAATGTTTGATGTTTAATGCTTAATGTTAATTACAATTCAAACAGCGGCCGCCGCGTACTAATTACAATAACAACAAATAATTAACTTGTGCTGCTGTTCTCAAAATGGATGCAGCTGCCAATAGCACCAGCACCAGCAACAGTAACAGCAACAGTGCCAGCGTAGTCGTCGCAGCTGGTGGCGCCACCGAAGACGAAACTATAACAAAGCTGCACAAACAGAACATGGAGAACGATGACGATGACGATGAGCCGCAGGCGTTGCCATTTTGCTTTGTTCGGGTGAGTGTCAAATTGAAATTATTTCTTCTGCTCTAGAAAGTTTGGCTACCTCGCACTAGAGAGTTACTCCACTACAATATCCACTTGAAATTGGACAGCCCTATGCCCCCGGTCACAGTTGAATGCTGGCAGGCAGGCGTGAACCCTCAGCTGGAAATTAGTCTTGACAAGACACCCCATAAATAACTGTGATAGAACACAACTGAAGACACCTCTCACATCATAAGTTTAACCAGCCTTCTAGCTGATCACTGACCACGATCACTGACCATGCACTTTCCCAGAAAAGGGAAAAAACCCATGTTTTTATTTAAATTTGTGCCGTCTTCGGTCGGAAATTTGAACTTCCGGAAAATGGTGAAACTGTTCTTATACTCTTGCTGAGGTAATTAGAATTTTGACGTGTAGTTTGTAGCATCTAGTTTGTTTGAGACATCTAAGACCCCATAAAGTACACATCTATTCTTGAACAGCCGAGTCTATGCAGCCATATCCGTCTAAAAACAATTTTGATTTGCCAAGATTTCCTAGCCTAAGTCCCCAGATCTTTACATCTGATTCGGACTTTCTTGTTTTATTTTTTTAATCATTAGTTTATATTTTTTATTCATCATTTCGTTATTTTTAAAATCAAAATTCAAAAATATGCAAATCATACTACTATATAATAATATATACCATTGGCTAAGAAATTCCGGATGACAAAAAAAAAAACAATAAATTTTATTTTGTATTCATTTTTAAAACAATGTTTTTAATACTGCTTTCAAAATTGTATAAGGGGTATATTACAATTAAGACGGCTGTTTTTCACGTTTTATGTGTTTGAAAGAACTTACAAATAATCGTTATTGATTGTTTCACACAAAGAAAAAATGGAATATAAAAACATAGTATTTTAAGCATAAATGATTATTTCCTTTAAAAAAAATCGACTTCCGCAAATTTAAATCGTATTTGATGATGCCTGGAGCATTTATTCCCAACAACATTAGGCATTATTATAAAGAATTGATCAACATCGTGCCCCTTTAGCTTCCATAGTCTAAGTGGCAAGCAGCACTTAGCAACTATTGAGCATTGTCAGAGTATTTAATTTGTTGGGAACATCAAACCTCAATAATGAACAACTACTTTGCCTTATACAAATTATGATTTTCTTAATTCCGAATATCAATTTCCACATAGCCACTTATAATGGGCGTCAAGTGGAACTGTTTTTGAGTTTTTGGCACGCAACGTTGACTTCTAAATTTAGAGACGAACCCATGGGCTATATACATATCTATATACATGCATATGTATCTCTACATCCCCCTTCCGACAGATGCGGGTTACTGGACTCCAATATGTTGATTGTCTACTTGCCTACTTGTCTACTGTTCACAAAGGTTCTACAAGTGTTTATTTCCAACTGTTTGGTTTCGTTTCGCTTGTGTGCTGTAACCTTTTCCAGATTTGGGGTCGAGTTCCGTTGGCGGTCGAGTTGTTTACCCGTCGCTACCATTATATATATGTACGTACAATTACATTCCCTACCTCACATCCCCCTCTTTCTCGCAAAAAATAAAAACAAATGAATGAAAGAGGAAGAAGAATGTGTAAAACAATTTGTTGCTGTTGGTGGTTTTTAGTTACTTTTTTTTTGTAGTTGTTTTGTGTGATTCCGTGCTTGGCTCTCGGCGCACTCACGACCTGCCCCTTGTTGCAGAGCCACGGTGCCAATGTTAGTGGCCTTGTTGCCTTGGCCTGGCCAAGAATGATTGGCCCTTTTGATTGCTTTCTTTGCTACGTTTCGCCGACGATGTTCGTCTTTTTTGTGTTTTGCTTTTTGCCTGTCATAATTTGTTGGGAAAATTGTTTCGGTTCTGCAGTTTGATTTTCATTATTTCATTTGAAGTGCCTCCATAAAACGGTTGCAGCTTAAAACTTGCAGCTCTTACAAAGAACATAACCTAAAGTTGAATATGAAAACATTATGCTCTTAGAACATGACTGCCTATGACTTGAGGGAACATTTATATGTACTCAGATCTTTAATAGCTGTTTAGTTAGTTACTTGAAAGCATCATAAATCGAAGCTGTCGACTAAAGGATATGATTTTACAAATACTATCGAAGTTAAATTATTCAATTGAGTTTGAGGCTTTGAGCTAATCTCAACAGTAGATTTCAAGTCGAATATGAATTCAATCAAAATGATAAATAAATGAGATATATACCAACTATTCAGTTATTTCAAGCTATCTTAACTCAAAGTTATGATTTGACGCCTAAAAAAAACCGACCATGTTAAAGACTTTATTGCTTTTATTTGTGACTGAGGCTTATGTTAGATACTTCATACAAAAGTCAACTGTTTGCTGTCATTGCGAATGCCATTAGCCGCCGGCTGACACCTTTAGTAGGCCCTCTTCTCTGTTTTCTTTTTGTCAGATACAAAGCAATCGACACACAAACAAGACACACACTCACTCAATCTCACAAAGTCAGACTCAATCAGGTCGACTCTAGTATTTTCACCCACCCATAAAAACTTGATTTCAGTGATTTTGATTTTTGTGCAGCCAACGCCCAAAGCAAACATTGCCCGATATCCCTGAGTCGAGCTCTGAGCCAATTTTCGAGTCCAGCATCCAGTTTTTGTATATGTATATGTGTATATATATATGTATGTATTTATATGTATGTATGTGCATGACTGTCACTGTCACTAATGATGATTTTGACTCTCGGTGACTTGGTGTTCAAAGTTGCGACTTTCATTCGTGAATGCATTCAAAGACAGTCGATCAATGGACTGGTCAAATCCACGTTCTCAGCTGTCCTCGGCCATGCTGGACCACACCCAGAAACATACACACGCACACACACGTCTACAAACTTATTATTCCCCCAATTTGAATATATATAAACTTGTTGTGTACATATGCTGATTATATATTTATATATAATATTGCGTGGCTGCTTATCCGACCTGTCTTAGCTTTGGCTACTTACGAGTAGATTGTTTGCTGGCTGGCTCTATGTTTATTTATTAGCTTGTTATACCCTGTAGTTATGCAATCTTTACTTAACTAGGCACGCTTAAGTTTATAGTCTGGTAAATAAAAAGATAACAATCTTATCGATAAGCAGTTCAGGTTCAGATTTCTCTCAAAATATTGATATTAAACAATGGATTTTTAGAGATACGATTTTTCTCAAATCCATGTTTATTTAGATACGTTCCCTTTGGCAACAACTGTATCTATTCTTGCTATTTTGCATGTTTGTTCATTAGAATTATTATTATTATTATTAGTTGATTGTTTGTCCACGCAGCAATGAACTGTTTGTTCTTGATGTGTGCATGGTTTATTTTGGTTAATGGGCGTTTCATGCACCATCATGTGGCATACAATATTTAACACAATTTGCATTGCATTGCAAACGCTGCAAAATGTGTGAGATTTTTCACTTTCCCAGCTCCAATGACTCTGCGTTACTTTTTGTTTGGTATTTAATTTTTTTTGTTTTTTGATTGTCACCAGTTTCTTGGATTTCGCGATGAGATTTCAAATCGCCGCTAATGGCCTGTGTAAATTCCAAACGAACCTTTGGCTGACACACAGCCCCGCCCCGCCCGCTGGTCGTGTTGACCTCTTGTTTGCTGTTCATTGGAAAAGCCATCCTAGCCTGCGACTGTAGGGAAACCTGCGCCTCAGTCTCAGTCTCAGTCTTAGCCAGAGCCTGAGCCTGTTCATTTTGAATGCTTTACACAGTTTGCCAGGTGAAAGTTATGCAGTGGACGCTTTCAGGTATATTTCTCTAAGTTGCAGCAGCCGCAATTGGCTGCCAGCTTATCGCTGTTGCAGGTGTTGTCTCCACCTGTTGTCGTGGCTGCCACTTTATACATGTATATATATATATACATATATATGTGCGTAAGTGCGGTGATCGATTAAATAATGAAATTAATTACAATTGGCGAAAATGCATGGTATGCATATATAAAAGAAAGAAAGCGAAAACTGGCAACATATTAATAAACACTTAACAGTCTATTCAAGTGCAGTGTTGCAAGGCGCACTCTCAATGCAGCCAGCAGCGACAATTTTCCAAACTGATGACAGATATGCAACAATTCGTATACGTTATTTACTTTTCTACTTTTTGAATGTTCTGTTGTAATTTGAATGAAGTAAATTGGTGCTCAGAGTTGTTAAAAACGTTCTGCTTGTTAACTCAAACAATTGAAGCAAACTTAACTCAGTTTGATGACGTTTGTTAAGTTTCAGTTGACTTGAAATCTATCTAAAACCTCTGATGTCTACGAATGCATAAATGGACAATGTTTTATCGTGATACGTGCATATATTGTGATATTATGCATCGTGTAAACACCATTTGGGTCACAAACACCAAATTGTGGCTTAGCACCAAATCTAATGCTCTACATTGCCAATTGGGCCAAATACAAATTTCATGGTCACACTCTCTTGCACCACAAAAAGGTGACATACATTGCCCCATCACAATGGAGCTAGGGCTGAATTACTCGCATATCACGAGCTCAAATTGAATCCAAATTTTGTAACCCAGAAACAAATTTGCACATATTTTGTATAGCTTGGGAAAACTTTGATTCCTTACAGATTTGACTGAACTTCAGTCGTTTTGTGATACCAACAAATTCGTGCAAACACTTTTGGATAAACTTAGAAGAGTTATTTGAGCACTCATTGTGCTTCGATGCGTGGCACAGAGATCGTGAGAAATTTGTAATTTCAAGTGATTGCCGAAAACTATAAATAAAATAGAAAAACACTTTTTTTCTAGCTAAAAGTCACACGTAACTTTTTTTTTTTTGGTGTGTTGGTCACTGGCAATGAAAAATAAAAAAATCTTCAAAAAAGAAATAACAAAAAAATGAAACAGATAAATAGATAAAAATGAATGCAAATAACTTTCATGTTTCTCCAAAAGACATCACATTTTCTGGGCTTTGGTCTTGAACA